TTCTTTGTATAATGGCAAGATCCCTCAGATACTCTCCCTATTGTTGCCTTTGATGTGTGAACAGAATGAAGTCACTATGTTTCAGTCTTTCTCTAACTGTAAAATGATAGGTTCTAAAGAATTTTGCAGCACTAATATGATTTTTCTAGGAGGGGAATCCCAGTCCTGTGTTCTTTCCGTTAACTGAAAAAACCATTTGTTGTCAATTTTCATCAAATTCTATCTTTTTTTTTTTTGGTTGACTGCCACTTTCCTGAAATTTTCCTCTCTCTTGTCATCTCTGACTCTCTCTTTCCCTTTGTTTTATGATATTTACTCCTACTCAATTAATTCTGATCACTTTACATCCTCTGTCTGCCTTTTGAATATTTTATTTAACAGAATTGATTTCCCCTTCACTGTTTATGATCTTTCTGAGCAATTTCATCTACTCCAGTGGATTAAGCTACTACCACTTTACTAATGATTGTTTACTTTGCAGTTTCTACTCTGCCTTCCCTCTGGGCTTTTTCTTCTATGTCTAACTACTGGTTTGAATGTTTGCACTTGCATCTCACCATCTCCTAAACAGAAGTCGTTATTTTCCCACCATTTCTCCATATCCCAAACTTGATCCACCAAATTCCTTATCACTTAATTGCATCACTAATCAGTGAAGCACGTGAGACAGAAATCTTGTAAGTCTCTCCCAGTTTTTCATGCTCTCATTACCCCCTGCTCTCCCCTTTTCTAGGCTTACCTTCTTGACAGAGTAGTACATGTACTCTTTCTACTTCCTCACTTTCCATTTACTCCTTCATCTTAATCCTACTTGCAGCCCAATTACCACACCTAAACTGCTACCTCCAAAGTCACCAAAACCTTCCGTTGTCAAATCCAATTGTCACTTTTCAGTCAATATCTTCCTGGATATTTTTGTTACATGCACTCTTGACTATGAACTGTTTGGGAAACCCTTAAAAGGTTTGGCTTCTAACATGCTAATCTCTTCTAGTTCTTTGCTCTTCTCTGTTTCTACTGCTACGGTTTCATCCTTGCAAATGGATCTTTCTGCCAACACTTTGCTTCCATGAATGAACCTACTTATATCTTTATATACTAACTATTTGCAAAGGAAATTATCTCCAAAGGAACAACTACAGTCAAGGTCTTTGTCTCCTAAGAGTTCATCTACCCTTGGCTTTCCCTCAGGTGACTTCATCTAGATATACCTAAAATAGAAATGTTTCTATCTCATGCCCATTCTCCCTCTTCAAACCTCTCTTGCATTTCTGACTATCTCTTCACTCAAGCCAGAGACTGAAAGGCCTCCTAGACATTTTCATCTACCTCATTTCTCATAATCAATCTATTATGAAGTTTTGCCAATTCCCCCTACTTGTATTTGTGTAATTTGCTGTTCTACTATTACTGCTCTGTAGCTTACCCTCTACATCTCTCTTCTAGATCAAGATAAAAATATGTATTGGACACTTTTAATGTGGCAAGCACTAGGCTTGCATTTTATCTGTATGATCCAAAATCTCATATAATCCTTACAACATCCCTATGAGATAGGATCTCTTGTTATTAGAACTTTACTAAGAGTAACAGAGCCAGGGAAGTCACCTAGGTCCCGTGGTAACTTAGAGCCCCACTCGTACCTCTACGTGATAAGGGCTGTCTTATTGCAAAGGGATCCTAATTGGTCTCTTGGCTCCAAATTGGTGTTTTTGCTTCCATTTCACCCTCCCCACTTAAATATGTCAAAGTGATCAAAATGCAGACTGAATATGTCTCTCTTCTGCCCCTCATCGCTCTTAAATCCAAACCCCTTAGAAGAGCCGGTGGAATTCTTCATAATCATGCTCCTTCCTAACCCTTCTGTCTCCCTTTCTCATACTCCCTGACACTACCTGGAAATCCATGCTCTGGTAACAGAGGTATTTGTCATTTTCTCCAGAAAGCATGTTTCTTCTGACTTCTCAGAACTCTTTTCTTTAAAACACGTCTTTCCCTCAGTGCCAGTTAATTGCCATCTACTCCAGGGAAGTATCTTTTATCTCCTAACTTGAGTAACCTCCCCCTGCATCACTTAGTATGAAAACACCCTACATGCACCTCTATCTAACACTAGCCGTGATTTCTCCAGGTGATGCTGTTATTTTAAAGGGGAGGGCAAGGGCTTATTCATGTTTCTACCCTCAGTGTCTAGCACTCGGTCAGGCACATGTTAGGCACTCACATTCTGCTGAACTGAACTATTACGTGAACTAAATATTGCAAATGTCTTAGTCAGCTCCCTCTTCCTCAACCCCAAATCCAATTTTTCTTTGGGGAATATTGTTTATTTCACCTCAAACATGGGTTCTTATTTCATCTGGTATCTTCCTTCTTTCTGTTACATGGAGCCTAGTTTAGTTCCTTATCACTTTAGTTTTACTTTAAAAATAGCCCCAAATCTCACCATCCTCCCTCTGATTTTCCCTTTTTCACACTCAGCAATGGTTCTCAAACGTCGAGGAGAGGACCACAGGATCACCTGAGGAGCTTGTCAAGTTGCAGGTTCCTGGGTCCCAGCTCAGAGATTCAGATTCAGTAAGCAGAGGGATATGCACTTTTAATAAGTACCCCGGGTGCTTCAATAGCAGGTGGTCCATAGGCCTCGGGTGGAGACACTCTGCTCTATGCTGTCGGGAAAATTTCTTTCTAAAACTCAGATATGATCAAGCTATTACTTGCTGAAATGCTTTTGATATCTCTCTTTTGTCTAGAATATACTGTAAAATCATCGACATGTAGCATAGAAATGACTGAGGTTTCCCGTCTGCCTTTTGAAGAACGTGCCCTAGCACTCTGTCTCTACCCTTCACCTCTGTATCCTGGCCCTATTTGTATCACACACATTCAATGCTCTATATCTGCCGGATGCTTTCTTCTGCCCACACTTGGAAATACTATGATTTTGTTTCTGTCCTGTCTGCCCACCTGCAGTGCCTTTTGAACCATTCTCTAACTGGTGAACTCCTACTCATCCTTCAAGCTACAGCTCAGTTCTTACTTTCTTGCTGAGGCCTTCCCTGACCTGCTGCCCTCACCTCTATCCTACTTTGGCCAAATTCATGGCTCCCCTCAATTTGAGGCATCCCTCTTTTTCACATCTCTCCAGAACGGCACTCAGATTATGGAAACTCCTTACTTATTGTCTGATGTCTCTTGACCTAGAGAGTCTATAATTGAGAGGTCCTAGGTTTACATTATGTTCCCAGGCCAAGAATTGCTTTGGACTCATTTTGACACTATTGTGGCTTCCTTCAAACGTGAAAGGCTCTTTCCACAGTGACAAGCATTTTAAGTGTGAAAAGGGAAGGCGAGTGAGGGGAGCCAATTTGTGTTCATATCAGCACATTGGCATGTTTGTCCAAAATGTTTTTAAATTGTCACTTCCAAATAAGTCTTTATTTTCTTTCAAGCTTCAGAAAAATTTTATCTAACCCTAGAACAATGGAACCATGCCTCGTGGAAAGACTAAAGTTGTGTTGGAACTTTAAAAAATGCCAGAGTCACCACTATCTGTGCCCTCTGTTCAGTATCTGCCATTCTTTTCAATTCTGACAGACTTGGCACTGAAGAGGGTTTTACAGCCTCCAGTGACATAATGTGGGAGGAAGCTAGAGACACACAGTAACAAGGCACACACACACACACACACACACACACACACACGAGTGAGTAGGTCACTCTTTTCCTTTGCTTCCACTACCCTTCTCCAGCCCACAGCCCAGCCAACAAACTATTATCAGAAGCCACTAATTCAAATTCATGTGAAAATTGTGTTCTCGCATTAAAAACATAGTGTTTGTGAAATGAATATCTTATCAGCGAGGACTTCAGGTCCTTACTGAGTGGCCACAACTTCCAGCTCTGAAACTGATCACTGGTCTTAAAGCTGTCACCTACCTTTACTTTCTGGACTTGCGCAAGGAATGCAAGTCTTGTTTTCTGGTTAGAATAGGAGAAGATAGATGAGCGGGAGGATATCCGAGTGATAATTTTCTGGGGGATGTTTTAAAGATAAGTGAGAATAGTTTTCAAAATATAAATTACAAAATTATTTGGCTGAAATGGATTGCAATTATATTGTCCAGCAAGGGAGCTGGAAATAAGAGAAGTCATTTACAACCTCGGTGTAAGGTAAGTGAGAAAGTGCAAGGACACTGTTGCTTGGCCATGGGTTTGGAATGTTAAAGAACAGTATCCAACTATTATCAGATTGGCAGTGGCTGAAAAGCTGAGAGGGGAGCCGTTAACTAGGATCTCACAGAGCTGGGAGGTCCTAAGGCGAGGACTGGGAGGGTGGTGGCTCTCTCAGGGACGTGAGGCTTCACTTGTATCACTCCTCCTTAGAGCCGCAGCACAGGACTCAGGGCGCAGCTGACCTGCAGCTCTTCTGAGGCTGGGCTTGTTCACTTCCTTAGGGTGCTGAAGGTTCCTTCCCAGTCTGGAAAAAGTGTTCCGTAGGCACCAAAATCCCTGGGCCGAATCTGTTCATGAGCCCTGCTACCATGTGGTGTAGAACTGAAGACACCTTCTGCTCCGCGGTGTGTGTGTGTCCTTCTGCACCACAAAGGACTCGTGCAAGTTACGATCACATTGAAATAGGAAAGGAATAATTGCATTTTTCCTTTGAATTATACGATCCTCCTTGATATTTCTTTAAATGACAGCTCCCGTTCTTTTGATAACAAACATTTCTCTGGCATTTCAGTTTCTTTTCCACTCACAGTGCCATATGACACTCCTATCAGGGTTTCTGGTTTCTTCAGGGAATTCACCTACAGAGATGTACAGCAAACAATAAAACAGCGGCTTTTCATTGAAAATAAAGAAAGGGTGTTCTTCTTTCCCCGCCACTACTCTCCACCACTGCCCCATCACAATTTCTGGAGTTCCTGCCCCGCTGGCGACGCCCTTCCGCCCCCCGCCCGCGGCCCCGCTCCCCAGCCCCGTGGTCGGAGCCCCCCGTGCTGGCCTCCTTCGGCGCCGCTGCCGACGGCGCTAGGACCCAGCGCGGCCCGAGTGAGGCTGGCGGACAGGCGGCCAGACTCCTCCTTATCTCCAGTGTCAAACTTGACATCAGCCTGCAGCGGAGCATGGTAACTTCTCCAGCAATCAGCGCGCTCCCCCTCACAGCAGTGGCATGCTTCATGGAGATATGCTCCTCTCACTGCCCTCTGCACCAGCAACATGGATTGTCACCTCTCCATCCTCCTCCTCCTCAGCGGCTCTGTGCTCCGCTGCCTCGGGGCGCTGATTCTCCAGCCTTCCAATGAAGGTAAGCCAGGTACCGCGCAGCCCTGCCCCGGGCTGACGCTCCCCGGAGCACGTTCTCGCCCAAGCTTTCCAGCTCGGGAAGGCACCTCAGAAGAAAGCACTTTGCTCTGAGAGCAGACTAAAGATGCGCTTTTATTTTCCTCTGTCTTCTAAAACACTGTAAGAAAGAATTTTGGATTGCCTAAACCTAAAATGTGTTTTTAATCTGATACGAATTCAAGCAATTACCTTGTTTGCCAATTTTGAGCAGAAAGAAAGAAAAATCCTCCAGTTTTGCAACCCAAGATGTTAATTGCCAAATAGCTGTGGCAGTATTTTATTTTCTCATTGTGACCATGTAGTACTCTGAGAAGTTGAAAAGAACATTTAGCCCGCCTCTCTAGATTCTTCAATATAAGTGTAATGACAGGTTGTTCCTACTTAGGATCATGGCATTTATGAATGGACTAAAGGGAAATCAGAGTTTGTTAAAGCTGAGGGGTGTGTGTGTGTGTGTGCATGTGTTATGTTGCAACTGCTGTATTGAAGTGATGTGTATCCCGCCAGGCGATGGTTTGCTCTGTGGCACAGGTTCTAATGAGCAGCATATGCCACATTAACATAAGTAATATTTGCAGGAATTAAAAATAAGCTTAGGTTGGATTCCCTTTGTTTAAGGGCTTCTATACGAATAGGAGAATGTACTTCATGAATAGTGAAAAGCTCCTTGGTAGGTATAGTAAATAACTGAATAGCAAATTAAGAAAGAATGTTCATATGCAGCTTATGCAGCAAATGGCATTTCCTTGATGTTGGGTTATATATTTTCCTCGTAATGGACATTCATCCCTTTACAACGTGTTAAAGTGCAAACCTAGTGTTGAGGACACCAAGTTTCCTCTAAGATTGTGTATTTAATAGATACATTGCCTTTCTCCTGTGTACCTTTTGTGATTTATTCCTAATGATTTGTGAATACAGTCACTAACTCGTAAGACAGACTTCTCTGAATAATTGATTGCTTTAAAGCAACACTTACAACTTTGATTTCCTCTTAATCATTTTGAACTTATAACAATAACATTTAGCAATTTATTTAGCAGTTTAGGAATACTGAACAATCGATTTGCAAATGCTACATTATATTATGTCACTCACTAAAAAAAAATTGGCAAGCCAATACTGTTGTATATTGTATACATTATTTTGAAAAACTCAAAATATTTAGAAACTTTAATTAAATATAAAAACTGCCTCATATTTGGTGACCTACTTTCACTGCTAACAGAGGAGTTTAATTTCGTTCTTTCCGCAGTACTGGCTTTATCAATTTGGCAGATTTCATTAAATTTCTATGCCTTTTTTTAATTGGGAAATTGAAAATTCGGAAATATAAGCATCAAGAAAATCATCTTACCTACAAGTGATTCTTTTTAACAAATCAAATTAAAATGTTTATTTGAAAGTAATGGTCAATCATTCTTTATGAATGAAAGGCAAGAGTAGTAATTTGTATAATGAGTCACATATCAATAAGTTAAAATTAGTGTGTGTTTAATCTTTTGGTTTCTTTGAAGATATTAAAGTATTGGCAATAATTGGAAAAATAGTAATATTATTCCCATATTGCTATGATAAACTGTATTTCTCCAGATGGAATATTTATAAACTATTTAGATAATGGATTTTACTAAATTAATAATGCACAGCACTATAGTTGAGAGTTACTATTTTTGTGGAAAACATAACCTTTTTGTAAATTGCAAGAGAAAAAAAGACCCTTTAAACTTATTCACACTTACATAAAATTAATATTAATTTAATGAAACAAGAATAATCAAATGCAAATTGCTTCTAAACCATACCTTGTGTATGTTTGGGTGTATAATGCATATTATTATACAGGCAGGTTCACATTAACAATATGTATATAGAAAGGTAAATACACTCAGAAAACTGACATGATTACATTTAATTTGCTTGGGTAAAAGTTTATCTCTACATTGTTCATGGGATTATTCTTTCCAGATTGTGTCTTATGGGTAATGTCTCCTTTTCCTTCTGAAGTCATGAAGGGAAGCTTTGAAGCAAAATTTAAAATGAATGGTTTAACTTGGGTAATATTTGAGTTAAGTTTTAAATATTAATACAATAGCTTGGGTCTTAGTTGTTGAGTTGAATAACATGAAAAGTGAAAAATCCAAGTATGTGCCAAGGTTTCCATGCAATTGCTCTAACAATGTCATTTGAATAGAAAGCAATGCTTTTGAAAATTCATATATTGTGTAGAAAGAACAATGATAAAAGGAATCTCATTAATATAGCTTTCTGAGAGAAATTTTGAAAACTGAAACATGAAATACTAGGTTGCATTTAAAATACTATGCTAAAAGTTATATTTCAACACTATAGAAAATTTGCTAAAAATTTACTAGTAAATTTTACTATAATTTATTCTGCAATCTATTCTGAAGTTAGGCCTGATAGAACTAAGAGAGAACAAAATCAAGCCATCGAGTTAATTGTTAGGAAACTTGCCATTGTGTGATTTTTTTTTAATTGGAGATTTGATCATCAAATATCAATATTGAAATGCCATGGTCCCATGATAAGAAAAAAAGTTAGAAAAAGTTTAATCTGCGCTTTCCTTTTATTAATCCAGTTACAAATAACTTGCTAATACGCTTTCAAGAAAATGATTCCAGATGATACTCTCGATCATCCTCAATGAAAATAGATTATTCATAATTTCAATGATCGCTTAAATCAAGAATTGCCCTATATACTTAAACAGAAACTTTATAAAAGCTGCATAGAACTTTATTAAAATCTTATCAGGCCTCTGTTTACATGACACACCAAGAAAAGACTTGCAATGAGAAATCCACTACTTTTCAAGACAAAATAGAATTGCTACACTATGTGCTATTAGAAAAGTTCCTGTATTTGCTCCCTGCTCCCATCCCAGAGGGTGATGATTGATAAATAGAAATGACTTTGGAAAGAGGTTAAAACGTGATATGAAGTGAAGTATCAACTGTTATTAGTTCAGTCTCTTTCAGCATTGGATAAAGTACTCTCTTTCAACACTTTTCCACATTTGAAGCAGTCTAAGGCAGAATGCACTGCTTATTCATTGGTACATAATACACTAAATCATTTTTCTATCCAAAAGTGTTTGAAAATTAGATTAATGTTTACTCATAGAGATTTTACATTAGAAATCAGAGTTTTCAAAATAAAAGTGAATGAAATTAAATCTACATATTTATGTACTACTTATTTTGGAAGACCTTTATCGGAGTGACTGGGACACCATTTCCGTGAAATGTATTTCACTGACCATAAATTTCCTAAGTACTGGAGAAGACTGTGTGATTGTTTGAGGCTGAAAAGTAAAACTCACAGTTGAACACTGTATGCTGCTCTTTGAGGATCAGGAGACAAGAAACATTTAAATAATGGATTTTTCTCTTTTTAGAAACTACTGTGAATTGGCATCACTTTTTACATAAACACTTAATCTCAAATAAGAATACACTGTGATTGAAACATTAATAGAGAACTAAGCTATCATATCATCTTTATAAATTTTTTGGAAGGGGGTTTACATTTGCTTTTAATAGCATTTCATCATGCTAGACTAAATAATTGAATGCATTATACATTTTTGTAATTTAATAGCTCTCCTAATAGCTCGCCCCTACCTCCCCCCAGCAGTTATAACTGTGCTATTTGCCTGGAGGTAGGAGAAACCTTAATTTCACTCTTTTATAACCCACAACAGTTAACACTTGACCTAGGTCATTAACAGGATTATCAGCAAATTTGTTTAAGCTTTTACTGACAACCTGAGTTGCTATGATAATATTTTGATTGTGCCGGAAAGAAATTTCTTGTAACCTCTCAAAATCTATCATGAAATTAATTCATTCAAAATCTATGTCTTCCTAGAGACTAATATTGATAATAATAATTCAAGTGGAGAAAATATCTACTTTGATACCCCATTTTCCTCACTCTTATGTTTTATACATCACACCATTCTAGTCTTTGTCATAAAGGAGTGATTAAAAACTCTTTTAAATATTAAATATTCTGGCAATATCAATAGATTTATAAATACAAATCAGCTTCACTGTAACTATCAACATTTTCAACTTTATACTTTTTTATTATTGGTGCTATAGTTGATATCATTATTCTGCCTATTTTAAGATATGAAGTCAATTAGATCTATTTATAATTCAGAAGCAACTGAAACTATAAAATGCAAACTGTATATAATAAAACACCATTGCCACGTGTTAGATCATGGTTGCATTTTATATAAAGTGTCTTTTCCATGAAACACTAGGAACTGGGAGCTACAATGAAAAGCACTTAAAATTAATATAAAAAATTTAAACAAAATGTTGAACACAATCAGAACTTAAAGGTATTTTTTTTTAGCATTGTTTAGTGGGTTTAGGCAGTTTCATGTGAAATTTTTATTACTTGAATATAATCATGGTTTGCTCCTTGCTCGTATAAACAACTAGGTAGTTTTACCTTGACTCTTAAGAAACTTATTTTTAAAGAAAGGATTTAGTAAGAATTTATCATGTTTATGTATTATCCACATTTTACTACTCAAATTTTGGTGTTTTCTTTAAGAGTTCCTCACTTTTAATACTTTCTCACTATAACATTCTTTATAAAGATCCCTAAATGTTAAAACTGTTTCTGAAACTTTGGAATTTTCCTGAAATAAAATATATGCAATTTTTAAATATCAAATAATCAGTTACATATGCAAAGGATTTTTAAAGGCAAAACATACTTCCACAGTATATTTGATTTACTAACTTCCACGCAAATGCAAACAGCAAGAACTGTTCTTGGGAGTTACATTTTCCAAGTCATAAAATCTTCAAGAAAGTATTAATAAAACTTTCCACAAATCATCAAAACTCGATAAGTTCTTACAGACATTTACTTACTAAGAAATCTGTGATGTGAGTTACCTTTGATTTTAGTCAT